TGTGAGCAACTGCAGAAAAGCTCTGTGAGTGTTTAATTAATTTTATTGAAGTTTCTGCAGGGTGACATTATCCTCTTTGAAAGGCAGTATAATTATAAATATTTGCAATAATTAAACTGAGATTGAAATTTGCAGAGAAAAAGATGCATAGCTTGGTTAACAGTTTATTGACATTTTGAGCAGTACCTTCCCAAATGTGGGATTTTTATTTCAGTGCCCTTGGGAGTATGGTCCCACATATGGGATTTATAATGTTCAGTGGTGTCACATAACTGCCAAATTCAAACTGTGCTTTTGCTCTTTGGCTGGCACTGAGCAATGGCAAATCTAGACCAGAACCTACTTTCAGTATTTTTCATTCAGTCATTTTTCACCATGTCATGCATCACTGCAATCTCTAGAAGTAAACTATAACAATTTAAACTCAAATAAATATTTCATCATGTTTCATTGAAATTAGTTTTAAGTAATTTTGTTTTGTAGCATCAGAGGCATCATGCACTCATTATTTTTGTGGGGGCACGAGTGAAGTGGTGGGGGGGCTCGGCTCGTCATGCTTGTCATGTGACACACAGCAGCCACGATAGCACTGTATAACTGATATAGGCTTATGTTTTTATTTTTCCTTTTTATTTTCGAAATATTCCCAAATGTGTTAACTATATCATGAAATATCTTGATTCTCAAATGTGTTTATAGATTATGTTAGTTGATCTATAATGGGCAATGGGCAAAGTAGCCTAATAGTGTAATCTATTAACTACGCATAAAAACCTGTCTTTTTACTTAAGTACCAGATGTGGATGTTTTTTTATACAACTGACTTTGTATTTAACGTGAATTTAATAAAAACATTGTAAGTTACAAATTACAACACTTTCATTGTACAGAAAGAGCAAAGAATATTTACATTATCAAAGAAAATTTTCACTGACTTCAGTCTAGCCAAAGTTCAAAAACTCCCATTGTAATCACTGAAGTGGTTTACACTGTGAAATTAATATCTTACTCACATTCGTATGCACTTCTGCACTTTGTTTCTGATGAGAGAATTTGCCAGAGAGCAGAATTCAGTCAGCGAGTGCGCTCACTGAACAAAACACTGGTGTTTCAGTGATGACTCATCTGAACGCCTCTGATTGGTCATTGCATTCATAAGCTCAACAGAATCGTGTGTGACTGGTTTTAATGTGCAGCGCTGTAAAAACGTGTCTGTCTCTGGCTCTGCGCCAATCAGCAAACGCAGATTTAAATTTAGCAGCTGGAGATATTTTACTTTTTTCCATTACTGCCACCCACAGGACAAACTGCGCTCTGACATGCTGACTGTTATGTTAAATAAACAGAAGTACTAGTAAAAAAATACATTTAGAGTTTGTATAATACACACTTATGTCTATAGAAGTAGCAATAATAATCCATTCAAATATAATTTGCTGACGTGTTTTATTCATATCAGATAGTCATAGTGTAAGTAACTATAATATTAACAATATTATAATATAATATAATAATAATATAATATCACTTCTAGGTTTGCTGCGATAGTTGGTGTTGACGGTGTTACCGGTGTTAAGCCGCAACACCGGTTATGTCACTTGCCCATCACGGCACCGCCCCCCACCGTCATTTTGATTTATATAGTAATAAAAAAATAATTTACTTCAGTTAGAGAACAGACACTACAATTAAAAACTGAACATGGCTGCTCAATGCAGCGTGCCGACAGTCGCATCGCAGATCAGCAGCAGGAGTCAGATTTAATTTATCACGTGATGAGAGTGAGTCGAGCGGCCCGACAAGAATATAATAGCGGAAGATTTAGTTTTGAAACGAAACGCAAAAGCTCCTGTTTGGAAATATTTTGGATTGTGAAAAGCCTGTTGAATTTTGCCATTTATGTAACTTGTTTATGGAAGTATTTTTTTTTTTTACATTCATTAAACGTTATTTATTTGGTTCCACAATGTTTGCTGATTTTCAATATTAGATATTTAATATTAGACCTTTAGCTTGGTGTATTTTTATTCGTTATGTTAATAAAAGTTAGAGGTTTAATTTAAGTAAGTGTCGTTGTACAGTTTTGTTGTTGTCCATTCAAGCAATTGACGCTGAATTACCGCTAATTCGAAAGTAACATGCGCACAGGTATTTACAAGCCATTTTGATGATTTGAAAAGCGAAAAAAAGCTAGGAAAAGATGAAAAACTCCAACTAACTACCCACCCCCCGGTGATACCGGTATTACCGGTGTTGTCACACGTTGGTTAACCGGTGGGAAAATTTCTTCACCGTCACATCCCTTCTCTCTTCCTCTCCAAGTTCATTGGCCACTTACTTACTGTGCATCCGTAAAGTATTCACAGCGCTTCACTTTTTCCACATTTTATGTTACAGCCTTATTCCAAAATGGATTAAAGTCATTATTTTCCTCAAAATTATACAATACCCCATAATTGACAACGTGAAAGAAGTCTGTTTGAAATCTTTGCAAATGTATCAAAAAAAAAAGTACATAAAAATAACGTGCATAAGTTTTGCTCAATACTTTGTTGAAGCACCTTCAACTTTTGTTTCTCATGGTCTGACAGTCCTTCAGGTGGGCTGTCATGTGCCTTTCACTGAGGAGTGGCTTCCGTCTGGCCACTCTACCATACAGACCTGATTGGTGGAGTGCTGCAGAGATGGTTGTTCTTCTGGAAGGTTCTCCTTTCTCCACAGAGAAATGCTGGAGCTCTGTCAGAGTGACCATGAGGTTTTTGGTCACCTCCCTGACTAAGGCCCTTCTCCCCTGATCATTCAGTTTGACTGGGCAGTCTGCTCCAGAAAGAGTCCTGATGGTTCCAAACTTCTTCCATTTATGGATGATGGCGGCCACTGTGCTCATTGGGACCTTCAATGCTGCAGAGATTTTTCTGTATGCTTCCCCAGATCTGTGCCTCGATACAATCCTGTCTCGGAGGTCTATAGACAATTCCTTGGACTTCATGGCTTGGTTTGTGCTCTGACATGCACTGTTAACTGTGGGACCTTATATAGACAGGTGTGTGCCTTTCCAATTCATGTCCAATCAACTGAATGTAGCACAGGTGGACTCCAATCAAGTTGTAGAAACATCTCAAGGATGATCAGTGGAAACAAGATGCACATGAGCTCAATTTTAAGTGTCATGGCAAAGGCTGTGAATACTTATGTACATGTGATTTTTTGTTTTTTATTTTTAATAGATATGCAAAGATTTTAAACAATCTTCTTTCAAGCTGCAATTATGGGGTATTGTTTGTAGAATTTTGAGGAAAATAATGAATTTAATCCATTTTGGAATAAGGCTGTAACATAATAAAATGTGGAAAAAGTGAAGTCCTGTGAATACTTACCGGATGCACTGTACATGTATTTTGGGAGAAATTGATTTATTTGCATGCTGTAAATCCGACTGACAGGACTCCTTGAACTGCAGCGCAAACAAACATGGTGTAGCCCATCTCACGTTATAGATCAAGATCATTTATAAAGGTTTTTAAATACCAAAACACACTCACTTACGCACAGAGGTGTAAAATCCAGGGGTCAGAAAGTAAAAGTCCTGCCATATGTTTATTCCACCCATGAACTCAGCAGCTGATTTCAGCAGAGGAGGAACCACGTCATTCCTTTCAAGTCACAAACGAGTCAAAACCCAAGTCCTCAAAGAGTTAAAGTTAATGAGATAATTAAGTGACTAATTAAATGATGATTGTGCATTAGTGATGAACACCTGCTGTTATTGAGAATTACAGAGGATCAGATGTTGATGTTTTATTGGTTAAAATGATGGTCCCATCATGGAGATCAGTGTTTGCTTTAGTTGTGCTCTTGACCCTTTTACTAACTCAAAGTAATCTGCATTAAAGTAATTGAAATGTTGTTTCACAACAACCATTTGTGCATTGTAGAATCAAACCTTGAAGCAGGTTCAGCAATTACTGAACTGCAAAAAAAAAAAAAAAAAACTTCAATATTGAAGAAGAACTGTATTAGCTTAGGCTTTTAGACATGAACACTTATCATATGATCCTCAACAGTGGTGACAATAATTTTTCATACTACAGTGCATGATGGGAGTTTTTACTATGGTGTTACCCAGCATGCATTGCAGCATGACACATTTTGTTGATTGTCACCATTGTTGAGATTCATATGCTGGTTGTTGATGTCTGTGTGTGTCTACATAGCACTGGGGATCAACTTTTTGTATGCATTACATATATTAAAAATTCATTATAACTATTAGAACAACACCTTGTTTGCATGCTGTAGTTTCACAGGAATGATTATGCAAACCCTAAACATATATAAAAAAAAATAATTTTAACTGTAATCAGGTCAGCTCATGACAACTATCTCGCATAAAAACTGCTAATATCTCCTCTCTGCTTTACAAAACCTCATGCATTGTTATAGAGAGACATCTATCACAAGAGTCAAGGGTCAACAGCACAACTAAAGCAAACACTGATCTCCATGATGGTGCCATAATTTTAACAAATAAAACATCAGCATCTGATCCTCTGTAATTCTCAATAACAGCAGGTGTTCATCACTAATGCACAAACATCATTGAATTAGTCACTTAATTATCTCATTAACTTTAACTCTTTGAAAGTCCCACCTCTGCTCAATTGATTAAAAACTAGGACTCGACACTGGACTCGGATACAACACTGCACTTACGCATATTTGAGAATCGGAATATCAGATAGTTGATGACATGGTAAGCAAGTTTGTGAATATTTTGAATAAAAAAGGATAAACTAATTAAAATCGACACATCTGTCATACAGTGTTATTGTGGCTGTGGATTTTCGCATGGCAAACATGACGTGTCACCATGGAAACAATAAGGGGGAACTTCTAAAATAATGGTCACCTTAAAAAATACTCACTCTGGGGGAACAGCTAGAATATTTTAAATTTACTCGTGAAAGAGTTAACTTAAAACATGTTTTGCTTTGTTTCAGTCTTGCTGGCTGTAATCTCACTGCTCAGGACTGTGAAGTTGTGTCATCAGCTCTACAATCCTCAAACTGTGTCCTGAGAGAGCTGGATCTGAGTAACAATGACCTGCAGGATTCAGGAGTGAAGCTGCTCTCTGATGGACTGAAGAGTACAAACTGTCACCTGCAGATACTGAGGTTAGACTTTTACACTAAGCAATTCATTTGTAGATACATGATTATTTAAATGTTAAGGTTCCATACTAACTTTAACAACCCCCTATTTACTGTTTCTGTGTGTCTGTAGGTTGTCTGGCTGTATGGTGACAGAGGAAGGCTGTGGTTATTTGTCTTCAGCTCTGAGTTCAAACCCCTCACACCTGAGAGAGCTGGATCTGAGCTACAATCACCCAGGACACTCAGGAGTCCAGCTGCTCAAACACAAACTGGAGGATCCAGACTATAAACTGCAGATACTCGAGTATGTGGGGCAGTTGGTTTATATAATTTACATAAGTTAATATACGTATACAGTACTGTGTAAATGGTTTAGTCTCTTGATGTAAAGTGAAGATGTTTAAAAAAAACAATATTTGTTTATTAGCAAAACTAAATTAAATAAATATTTGGTATCGATTTAGTATCACCCTTGGACTTGACAGACTTTCGCTGTGTGGATCATACATTGTAATAATCCTGTGATATTTTTGTATGAACAAGTGAAATAACGGTTAAAGGCAGAGGTGGGACTTTCAAGTCACAAGCAAGTCTCGAGTCATATCCGTGTCTTTCTCTGTAACAATGCATGAGGTGTTGTAAAGCAGAGAAATCAGTGCTATGCAGCTATTAGCTGTTTTTATCTGATGAGAAAGTCAGCATAAGCTGGCCTGATTAGAATAAAAATAACTTTTTTTTTCTTTCCTGTTTATAAGTTTAGGTGTTCATCACTAATGCACAATCATCATTTAATTAGTCACTTAATTATCTCATTAACTTTAACTCTTTGAGGACTTGGGGTATGACTTGAAAACTTGCTTGTGACTTGAAAGTCCTAACTCTGCTGATTAATGTATGTTAACATTAGTTAATAAAACCACAACTCTTTGTTGTTAGTTCATGTTAGCTCAGGTACATTAAATAATAAAATAATGGGATTAGTGTACAAATAACAAACTGTATGAAATTAACCCTACTGTGGGTCAACGCTGCATATTTATTTTCAACAATCAAAGTTTCAACAACATCACATATAAATGATGCTGATTAGGACATTTCAGAATCATACACAAGTTGTTACCAAATGAAGACGCACCGCTATGCTGCTATCGCCAGAGTCCAGTATCTCTCAAAAGTATTTTATTAATTGTTTTGGTTTAAGTTCTCGTAGGAAATCATATTACTCTGTGAAAACCTTATTCTAAAGTGTTTGCAGAGGCAACCTAGAAACAAAGACCAAATAGTAGTAATTTAATTCTAATCTGTGTGTGCATTTGTGTATTTTGCAAGTGTGTTTCTGGCCTAAAATGAACCCTTAGTAGAAATAAATGTGCACTTGTGTGTTTTAGTCACTTGGTCTTGAGTTTATCCTTCTTGAACAATTCTGATGATCAAACATTTATCATCTATGTTTTATAATGGTCTCTTTCTAGTTTGGATCATGAAGGCCATTTCAGAATCACACCAGGACTGAGAAAATGTAGGTATTTTCTTTCTCACTCACACACACGCGCACTCACATGTCGTGTTTCCATGTTTTATGAGGACATTCCATAGGTGTAATGGTTTTTATACTGTACAAACTGTATTTTCTATTGGCCTACACCTAAACTTAGCCCTCACAGGAAACTTTCTGCATTTTTAGATTTTCAAAAAACTTAATTCTGTATGATTTATAAGCTTGTTTCCTCATGGGGACCTCAAAAATGTCCCCAAAACGTCATAATTTTCTGGTATTACTATCCTTGTGGGGACATTTGGTCCCCATAACATGATAAATACCAGGTACACACACACACACACACACACACACACACACTTGTTTAATAATATCATTAAGGTTCTCACCCCTCTTGTTGTTCAGATGCCTGTGATCTCACACTGGATCCAAACACAGCAAACACTCAACTCATCCTGTCTGAGGGGAACAGGAAGGCAACACGTGTGAAAGAACATCAGTCATATCCTAATCTTCCAGAGAGATTTGAGAGCTTTGAGCAGGTTCTGTGTGAAGAGAGTCTGACTGGACGCTGTTACTGGGAGGCTGAATGGAGTGGATCTAAGGCTCATATAGCAGTGACATACAAAGGAATCAGCAGGAAAGCAGGGAGTGACTCTTGGTTTGGATACAATGACAAATCCTGGAGTCTCTTCTGCACTGCTAATGCGTTCACTTCCTGGCACAATAATGTCAGCAATACCATATCTGTTCCTTCACCGCTATCTACTAGAGTAGGAGTGTATCTGGACTGGCCGGCTGGCACTCTGTCCTTCTACAGCGTCTCTGACACACACACACTCACACACTTGCACACATTCAACACCACATTCACTGAACCCCTCTACGCTGGATATGGGAAGTTTGATTCCTCACTGTCTCTGCGTCAGATTAATAATCTGCTCTGAAAAACAACTGAGACAAACAGATTGTCTGCTTCAAACTATTTTATTTTTTTTTTTGGTTTTTCTCTTTCTTACAAAAAACAATGGGTCTCATTTACTAATAATTGCATAGATTATTTTTAATTATATGCACATTCAAACTTCTTAAGATAACATCCCGCCTAATTTACAACATGTGCATACACACATGAATTTGTTCTTAACCTTCATCCTAATGTTAGTGAATTTGGAGTATTCTTTCTGCACAACTTTTCCTTTACAGCCTTTCATCACTCTTGTTAAACATACTCCACACCCTCATTTGCTGCTCTCTATAGATGTGCTCTCGTCACAAACACAATAAACACATTTTATACAGACCCAGTTAACAGACTTCTCATTAACCGTCACAGGTAATTTAGAGCAATGATTTTTCCCAAAAATGAAAATTGTGTAAATTAATCACCTTCATGTTCCAAACCTATGTGATTACTTGCATCTGTAAAACACAAAAGGAGAAATTGTGCAATACAATTTTGAAAAAATGTCCAAGCAGATCTCATTTATATCATGTAAATATATAGTGACCAGTTGTCAAATTCCAAAAGCACAAAACACATGAATGAGATTTCGGACATTCTCTCTCTGTAGGTTGTCTGGCTGTATGGTGACAGAGGAAGGCTGTGGTTATTTGCCTTCAGCTTTTATTTGTCTTGAGTTCAAACCCCTCACACCTGAGAGAGCTGGATCTGAGCTACATTCACCCAGAACCACCAGGAGTCCAGCTGCTCAGCAAGAGACTGAATGATCCACACTGCTCACTGCAGATTCTCAAGTATGTGGGGCAGTTATGACTCATTTGTGTGTTTGTTTGTGTGATGGGGTCAACAAACAGCAATCTTCTGAGAAAGTTTGAGAGGCGTGAGCACTGATTTTACATTTTAAAGGTTGTAAATCTAGAGAAAAATCAAGACATTCATAATTCAATTATTTTTTTATCCAAAGCTTTGAGAGCTTTGAAATCACAGGAGTAAATTACATTTTAAAATATTTTCTAGAAAACAGTTATTTTAAATAGTAAAAAAATATTTAGGATCAAATAAATGCAGGCTTGGTGAGCAGAAGAGAATTCTTTAAAAACATAAAAATCTTACTGTTCAAAAATGTTTGAGTGGTATGTTTGTATGTGGTATAGTTTGAAGTTAAAGATATTAATAATAAGGTGAGTCTGAGATGTTTATTTGACAGTGATTTCACCCATGTTTGTATGAAGGCTAAATACAAATAAACGGTGAACATTAATTTATTTGTGCTGTTTTTTTTTCTAAAAAATAAATAGTTTTATAGGAAGAGGTAGACTTGGCAAATTAATTTTTCATAAGTTTGTAGGTAAAGACATCTGTTGTGGGCGTTCTTGACCGTTTTTATAAGGCTATTTTTAACAGTTTTCATATCGATATCGGAATTATATCGTATCGACCGAAATTAAGAAATATATCGTGATATAAATTTTGGCCATATCGTCCAGCCCTAATTGTGAGGTATCCATCTTAGTTTTCAGTGTGGAAGTAAGCCGTTTTCTGTGAATGTGCGAGACTTCTGGTTCATTAGCTGCTGAAGGGAAATAACAAGAAGAATAACAAACTGCAGTATACTGTAAAACTGTTTGCACTACAAACCAGTGTGTTCATAATTAAGACATGGCATTAAAATAATATGGCAAGAAACACCAGTTTGCAAAACCAGCTGTTTTGTAGAGCTAAAAATAGCTGAAAGCGAACCACACCGGAAGCCAGATGCATTAAATGTACAAATGGCAGCGCCGCTCTTACGGGAAAAATAAGGTGGATAAAGCCAGATTGTGAGGTCATATTCCACAGACTTACGAGTCCATATAAGGTAATTGAGCTATTATGTATTTTAGATATTTATTTTAATGTGTAGGTTTTTTTTTATTTTTTTTAGTAAAAGCATGAAATGACTTTTCAAAACATTTGAATCTTCATATTTGAATCCTGTTTGTCGTGGATTTTTTTTTCACCTTTTAATTATAAGCTATCATCTGCTGTGTGTGAGATTCAGTGGAGACTTCAGTGAGTCAATGTGATGGTCTGTAGAAGCATTCTGAGCTCTGCTGGACTCTTTAATTAATGCATTAATTTAGTGTGTTCTTATAAAAGCTACTGTAGATGTTGTCACTGTTTCATAGGATCCACAGACTCAGCTTCATCCTACTGGATTGTCAGGAACTGTTAGATCAGTGTGTTTTATTCCTGTACAATGTACACTATTATACATATTAAATCACCTTTTACTGATTGAAATTACCATAATTTAAATAAGATAATCTTCTACAACACTGAAATAATGTTTTATCTATTTGTTGACATTTGTTACAGCTTACATTGTTCTGTATACATTATATATATATATATATATATAATATTTGTGTGTGTGTGTGTGTTTCTTTTTTCATGCGTTTGGGTTTTGTTAAAACATTTTATCAGGTGACCTAAAATGTGGATTTATTCAATTCAAAATAAATTGATTAATTCTACCAGACTTCATTATTTTGTACCAGTGAAATGAATCCTTTCACAGTTGTGACAGATGTCACACCGTCTCCTCTCTTCTTTCAGTCTGTTTTCATTGTTCATCTGCACTCCTCTCTCGTGTCCTGAATGGATGTGTTGTTGGAGTCTCTGTGAGTCTGTGCGCAGGTCATCTCTCTGTGGGACACGGTCAGAGTCTGTCCTGTACTGTCTGGATCATCTGACCGCTGTGAGCTGGGAGTGAGAGACGACTGACACATGAAGGACACAGACTTTATGTTGCAGCACCACGGCCAGGTAAAACGACACCTGGTTAAGACGCCTTGGTTTTTAAAAGGAAAGCTTTGCCCTCCCTCTAGTGGCACAGATCATGACATTCTCATGACATTCATGGTAACTATGGATTCCCTTTCATGGGAACTTCAAACTGCATCCTCTAGGGGTCGCTATGGGGACCGCCTCGTCGTGACCCGTGTCTGAAGCATACATTGAAAAAGACGAAGAAGTGAATGATGTGTGCTCCCGGCACCTATTTATAGTATAGTCGCACCAGTAGTGACGTCATGGCTGTCACCGGCCAATGAGTTGGTGTTTTTTCAATGTATGCTTCAGACACGGGTCAATACAAAGTTATTACTTCATTAGACGACATAACATTTTCTTGAGGTTTAGTTTTGGTGTTGAGTTTAATTTTCATTCAGACTGTGTGCTCTCCCTGCTGAACAAAAAACAAACAAAAAAAAAACAGACACCATTACAACATTTTTAATGGTTTTAGTGTTTATAATGGGACTTGTATTGGTTTTAAGGGAAACTGTGGGTCTCTACTGGTAATTAGTCGCCCTCTATTGGTGGCTTGTTAAAACCAATAAATCCTAATGGAATATGTCCCAAAACACTACAGAAAACCATTTTTTAATGGTTTTAATGGTTAAAGGTTGATGGTTTGTAATTTTGTGATGGTATTTGTAGTGGAAACCATTCAAATTTGCTGTGATGGTTTTATTGTTGTTTTTCAGTAGGGCTGTCACCTACATCACAGCTGCTCTAGAGTAGACTCACTTGAGTGTGATGATGCTCTGCGCCACTAGAGGACGCGCGAGCGTGTTTACTGTGAAGTAACACGTGACTAACTAGAACCGAAAGTGAAAGAGGATGAAAAGAAGAGACGCTATTTCAAGGTTTTAAACCTGTCAACGTTAGATATTTAAACCGCCTGTTTTGTGGTAAGTTAAGAATGTATTTATTTATTAAGAATTGATCATGTAAGTGTATGTCGCCTACACTTAGCTGCTTTTTGTGTGTTGCTGTTCTTTACATTAGATTTAAATCTCGATCATTCGACAGTTTAACAGCTCTGGCCAAAATGGCCGAAACGTAGACAACTGAAGTGCGTAGCTGAATTATTTTGATATACAGACTTTGACTATTAAAGAGGACGAAGGTCGGAAGAATACGGAGACAGAAGAATGCGAATACCAGAGGTGGGATTTTCAAGTCACAAGCAAGTCTTCAAGTCAAATCCCAAGTCCTCAAAGAGTTAAAGTTAATGAGATAATTAAGTAACTAATTAAATGATGATTGTGCATTAGTGATGAACACCTGCTGTTAACAATCAACATCATTGAAGAAAAGAGAAACACAAGAACTACATCTGACTTCAGCCACAGCCTTGGATGAAATCGACTGAAAAAAAAACACTACGCCACCATATTTGTGGTCAAGGTTTGCCTTAGATAGTCTCTTGACCCTTTTACTAATGCAAAGTAATTTGCTTCTGAGCAATTATAATGTTGTTACACAACAAACATTGGTGCTTTGCTGAATCAAACCTTGAAGTAGAAGATTAGTTTACATTTTCTAATGATTCATTATGACTATTCATCATAAAGTAGTTTGTTCTTTGTTTATTAACTGCCATACAATGATTTTTGAACAGAACAAAAAAAAATTCTTCTACATAAAAATGCCAATATAATGCATTAAAAGGCTCATGTCCATGTCATCTCAGGCTTTTAGAAATGAGCACTTATCATATGATCCTCAACAGTGGTGACAATAATTATTCATACTGCAGTGCATGATGGGAGTTTTTACTATGGTGTTACCCAGCATGCATTGCAGCATGAACCATTTTGTTGATTTCCACCATTGTTGAGATTCATATGCTGGTTCTTGATGTCTGTGTGTGTCGAAACAACACTCAACTTCAAATTTATATATGCATTTAATAGATTTAAAATGCATCCACTACAACTATTAGAGTAGTATTTTTTTTGTGTGCTGTGGATTCGTAGTGTTGATTTTGAAGAAAACAGAAACATATAAGTGAAGAAAATAAAAACGTATTTTGATTGCAACAAAGTCAGCTCATGATGACTAATCTCACCACACAAAAACAACTAAACCCTGCACATTGCATAGCACTGATATCACTACTTTACAACACCACGCGCACCACTACAGCGAGATATTTAACACTGGAGTCAAGGGTCAAGAGCCCAACTAAAGCAAACACTGATCTCCATGATGGTGACATCATTTTAACCAATAAAACATCAACATCTGATCCTCTGTAATTCTCAATAACAGCAGGTGTTCATCACTAATGCACAATCATCATTTAATTAGTCACTTAATTATCTCATTAACTTTAACTCTTTGAGGACTTGGGATATGACTTGAAGACTTGCTTGTGACTTGAAAGTCCCACCTCTGGTAATCACATAGTAAGAACAGTTTTTTTTTGTTTTTGTGGAAGATGATGTTGAAGGTCATAACATACATATTTATGTTAACTTGAGTTAATATCAATCTCACTTTCTATTGTCTGTCACTCTGGTTATCAACACTGCATTATCTTACCTGTGGAATTCTTATGGTCTCAATCAGGTCTTGCATCTAAAGGAGCTGTATCTAGACCAGCCTTTTCCAAGTAGATATAACTGCAGACCGGAGATCTCCAAAGTGGGGCGTGAACTCCAAAAGTGGGCAGAACCTCCAAAATGGGGCGGGGTCTCCTCGAGCAAAGACTTTCACCATTGGCTCTGGCTCCAGCCAATTGTTAATGACTTACATTTCAAAATACAACTTTATAAATGTAACATTGTTTCTAGTTCATCTAAAATAAAATATGCTATATAAGTAAATATTCTCCGTGAGAGCAGAGCCCAAAGCTTGTGGCCAGTGGTGTTCGGACTGGAGTTTGAACATCTGCTTAATGAGAACCTCTGCTTAATGATATTAACGGGAATCACCCACAAGCTCTCCCGCGAGCTGTCCCAGCGCAGCGCAGGGGAAAGATATATCGCTTTTTTCTAAGCAACTGGGGCGTCCCCGGGCTCGAAATTCGCAGGATAGGAGGGGGTAGTGACGCTGGGTGTAACTAAAAAGGTGCCAATAGGTGCGTTCGACTTGAAGCTCCGCTACAGACGGCAGTCAACGAGAGTAGCCGCTTGCAGTCGGGGGCGGAG